TTGCCCGCTGAAAGGGAAGAACCTCGCTTAGACATCGAAGTGACCGACCGAAGCGAACGAACGACGGAAACGAAGAACCTAAAGGCAACAAACGTAAGGACAAAGCCTTACGAGGTTAATAAATGTAAGCGAAGGCAAAGATTCCTTCACAAACAAGGCCTGAAGATATCACGAGATAAAGTCAGGGACGACGTGGAGTTTAGGTGGATCCTTGGAACGTAAGAAAGGGTATCCGAAGGAGATTACCAGATTGCGTAAAGAAAGTAAAATATAAAGGGGCATACCCCTTTATATACTAAGGAAATCCTCCATGATCACTAATACAAAAGAAAGTTCTTGGCGTCATGCACAGCCACGATTCTTCCGTCGGGTTCCACCCTCTTCCATTGCGTGGCAACGCATCCCAATCATGCATACAAAGAAATTCCAACCATACAATCAAAGAAACCACAACCAATATATTCAATGAAAAACCCATGCACGTTCCTTCTTCATGGCCAGGTGGCCGTGACAACTTTGGACTTTGTTAAATGCGCTCAGTAAGTGGTTTTCTTTTAGACCCCCTTTTCTTTTTTACCTCTGCATAAAACCTGTCTGCTGAAAGTAGTGGGAATATTGGTTGTATCTTTATTCTTCTATATATTTTCTTTTTCTGCTTTACTGAAATTGTAGTATATGTATATATAAAATAGGAATTATCAAAGTAGTATGAAAAGAGGAAAGTATTTGGGCACAGGATTTGTATGAGGCAGTACTTTCAAAATTATTCTTTTTACTCTTCCTTTTCAGCTTCTTATATCATTAAACCTACACACTATGAGTATATTGTTACTCACTTTCTGGATTGTTGTCAAGTTTACTCCTGAGTCACATGGCATGGCTTAATTTCCCACTGCTAAATTTACATTTAAGACATTTTTCACCCCTTTTTCCACTGACTCACATTGAATCAACCTCATATCACACCCTCCGATTATTTGAGTTTTTACGGTATCTAGGATACAAATTGGTATTTTACTCCATATTGAAGACATCTATGAACCTGTACTGAATCAAAATTTTCACTAGTGTCCAGTTACTTTCTTGTCGCCGCTGTACTAGTACCGATTTTTGCCCAAGTGGTTGCCGGTTACTGGTATTGGGTTGCGTAGAAGAAGGGTTTAGGTTCCTGGGTTAATAGCCCTGTTGCCACAGCATGGTTAACTTACGTTGCAATCTGAGACCCACAGGTATGATACAAGTATCATAACAAATTCATGTGTCGGCTTAATAGCCGGTTCCCCTCCTATTTCGCTGTCGCTCATAGTCAGGGAAAGCAAGTGGGACGTGCCGGCTTTTTTTTTTCTCCCGAGAAATGCCAAGAGAGGCTTACATAATACTACATTGAGGGGGATATTTTGATTTCTGTCCATTTACATGCCACTAGGGAGTTAGAATTACTACTTTCTTGACTATAGAAATTAGGAAAACCGTTCCAGGTCCTCCAATGTGATGCCAACGTTTTGCTCCAAGTGCAATAAATTTTGAAAGTAAATTCCAAGAGATAGCAGGAGATATTTTTCACATTAGATGGATGGGGGGGAGGGTTTGGTTGGTCATGATGGGTTGTGTGAAGTAGTTATATGAAGCAGAGTTTTTTTTTTTACGTTCAAGCTGTATCGCTCTACTCGTACTTGACATCCCTGAGACCATATTTTTACTCGCTCACCAATCATTACCAACTACAGGTGTCCAGCTTCAATCCGGCCGCACGAGCAGTTAGTCGTGAGAGCATTTACACAGTCACAGGAATGGTGCATCGGGTTGACTTATGATTTGTATGATGCTGTATTTGCTCGTTGGACCCACTATCTCAAGACATCCCTTTTGTCTCGAGGTTCTGGGACGGGGGCTCCTAAGAAAGGTTAGCATTTTCCTGACACGGTGTAGGATCAACCCATGGGATGTGCTGGATCTCGTTAACCTGTATTCCTGGTCCTGCTAACCTGTCAAACTTAACCCTCTCACGAACTTTGACCTGGGATCCCGGGAATCTAAGCACCGCCTGGGATAGTGGATTTAACGAGCGAATACGGTATGATATAAATCAATTGTTAAAATGATATAATTAGCAATCTGACTAATGACACAGCTTGGATGTGCTAGTTTTATGGGCTCGTATTGGTCAGTTTTCTAACTATAGTTCCACAGCATGGTTTGCCGTCGTGCCAAACAGCCCCGAAGGATGATATTTGTCAAGCCCTGAGTCAAGAAAGACGGCGATTTGTTAAAGGAGAGGAAAAAAACATGATTTTAGAGTTCAAGGATGTGATTTGAAATCTTAGTCACGTTTGGCAAACCGCCCCCCCCCCCCCCTGAGTAACCCGGTGATCGATGATTTCTTTTGCTGTGCCGTGATGATACCCTCAAGACCTTTTTTTGGAGGGAATGCTCGTCGTGACGGGGGTCGATCGTCCAAATCTAAATACCTCCCGCTATTAACTTGGTTTGCTGTGACTAAAAAAGGTGAAAAACATTGCAAAATGTGCTCTCCCAGTAGTGCTCGAACGATAGGTAAGTTGTTATCGCAGCGGTGCGAGGACGTTGGAAGTTGCCTTTTGCTGGTATGCTATCATGCCATAAAAGTCCTGCACTTTTTTTGTCTTGAGCTGCGGATGAGTGGGGTTAGATTATGATAATGTGGTCCCAGCGATCTCTCTCTCCTCACCCCTCCTCCCCCCGATTCAAGAGGGGGAATATTCCACATATTATTCAGAGCGAGTATGATACCGATTATTCGACCTCTCGTCTTCTTCGCCTGTATTCATGGCCTCACGCTCGAGCCGAATAGGACAATGATATCCCCGCTCGGGGGAGGTCTCGATCCAACAGCTTGTGGTTGTAAAAATCTCGTCGGCCAGATCACGAACGCAGGTGACCAAAACCACACCTTTTATAGTACGAGACTAGTTTCTTCTCCTTTTTTTGAAGATCAGAGGGCGAGATCCACTCCAAAAAGGGTCGTGGAATCCAGGAACTGACGAAGAGATGGGTAGGTAAGGTATCTCAGACCTAGCTGTTTTTTCCTTCTGAAGGCTCGTTGTATCGTAGTGGAATCCATGTGACAGCTGTACTGTACACTCGAAGGGCCAGATTTTTTGTTTCGCGTTTTTTCTTGCAGTCACAAATAAAACAATCCTTTCGAGTGATCTCGAATGACAGAGGTGGGAGACAGACCCCCATCCCCCACCAACTGCCATTCCATAGACCGGAGATTTGCGGAAACCCCTCCTCCCCCTCACCCGGGTTGGTTCGGGTCGACGGCTGGAATAGGTTCTGATGCGATATGAGGGAACTAAAGAAGGTTGTAATTTCATCGTCCGATTATCATGCCTTTCCAACAACAGTGCAATTCGAGTGATGGGAAAAGTTTGAAGGGTGGGGGTACGGAGGCGGCCCAGTCTGGGGTTCCTGAGAGACGGGGGGGTCTGGATAAGTACGATCCGGTAAAATATGGGTAGAATTTGTTGTCTGACAATCAATATCACATATTTGCTTGTGTGTATAAATGTTTTCCTTGTATAGAAACTGGACTTTTTTCTTTTTTTTCTTTTCTGTGTTTGTCGTTGCACAGCCGTGCACGTTTTCCACTATAATAGCCTCAAATATTTTGAATTCTGGGAATCGTGATGGTAATTGTGTCGGGGACGTAAGCGGTCGCGGCCTATATTGCGATCGTTTAGAATGCCATGGACTGATTGACTGGCTGCTTATGGGGGGCTGTTACTACTGCGGTGGGCTTCCCATTGTGTTTAATGCCGCTCTTTTCTTTTTCCTTTTTTTTCGCATTGTTCTGAAGGATATGAGATTCCGTCTGATACATCACAACAAAGGATTCTCGTGGTGTATAACGCCACTGGGGCTTGTAGCTATGGGGGGTAAATCTGGCGACTGGATCGAGTGCTCTGGCTGAGTGGAGTATCTTGCTTGGAAGGTGCGTCGGGATTTTTTCGTCAGTACTGGAGTTCGCTCTATTTCTATGATAGTATCCTCTACCATGGCTGGAGGACGAAATATAGAAGGGCGGTGGGATGTCGTGGGAGTGGCGGGGAGGCATGGTGGAACATCTGGGTGTGTCGTGGGCCGTTCTGGAGCTTTAGTGATTAACGGAGAAGGTTCCTCTTTTCGTACACGCCTTTCCTTTGCCATCAGGGTTGCCAATGGAGCAACAGGGACATGCGTTAGGGGGAAAAAAGCCAATTTGTGGTCCGTGGAAGGATCGGAATGTGTTTCTGATCCTGTTCTATGTAGCATCGATCATACTTCCTTTGCTGTTTGGTTTGGTTTGCATGCACGAGAGATGACCAAATTTTTTTCTGGCCATATATTTCCTCACATAACGCCAAAGTCTAGATCTATTCATCCCACCGTGCCGCTGCGCCATTTGTTTCTTGCCCCACGGGAAATTCCTCTCCTTAACATGCCGTTCCAAATACGCATATATTCCTTTCCATATATATATGTCTATTTGACCCCCGCTCCCGGGCACAGTACTTCCTGCGTGGGGTTTTGAGCGAACGGTGAACCCATTTACCCTCCCCCCCCCCCACTCAATCTCAGTGCGCGGCCCACCTTTGAAGGGATTCCCTTAAGAAGAGGAAGAATTAGAGCGGCAATGAATGGGGCCAAAACTTTTCAGGATTTTGCCTAAGATTGAGCGGGGGGGCACAATTGTTCTGCTTCTCCAAGTACGGTAGTTTCCTCTCGCTTTTTGCGGACCATGCAGGGTAATAATGGCATTGTGATGGTAGGGTATCCGGGAACCTTTGTGCGGAGTGTAGCGGGTAAGCCCTGCATGCAATATACACCATGGACAAGTTTCGCCAACCTGCAACGATATATAATCCATTGGCTTAGCTTTTACCGGTCAAGCTAGGTCGTGGTCTGGGTGCCCCCACGGGGGCGGGAGGGGGCAACCCAGTATCTTCCGGGAGCTGTGGCGGTTCATGTGCTACGGTATAATGTTGGAGTTGGCACTTGTACCGTGCAGTCACGACCTCTTCTGGCTCCGGAAGTCATCCGTGGCTGGCATTTTACTCCAAAAATGCACAACTTTGAAGACTCACCATTCACCCAGAAGGACTTGCGGAATCGATCAAAGTATGTGGCGTCATGTGCTTCGCAATTGCTTTTGTCTTTTATCCCTTTCCGGTAAGGATTGTGTGATTTTTGCCGCCCTCGTGCGAGTGTTGATACGATGGCTAGGGGTTTATTCTCAGAGTTGTGTTGCGGAGTATGAGAACCTTCTCATTATCAAGGTGAGCAGGGAGAGATTTGTGGATGTAAAGTTGCTCATTTTTGGTGTAGAATGCCAAACTGCCGGTTCGGTGCTGTACGGTGCAGTATTTGTTGCTACAGTGCTGTGCAGTAAGTTACTTGCTGCGTCGACATCGTGCGTGGGGGCGCCGAGTCAACTTTGCCCATGGCGGGGCTGCAGGGTTCGTATGGGTGGTACAAGTACGAGTACGAGGGGATCCATGGTCAAGAGGAATTTCACATGCTATTATAATATTACGGTGACTTTCTCCGTACTATTCTGTACTTGTACTGCGCCGACGAGTGAGAAGTACCGGCACTGCAGCTGAATTTCTGGTATCGTGGCTGACGGCCACCTACCGGTAGACCTCTCCGTGATGCCGTACCGTATCCTTTCCCCGAGGCCCGCCGTGTTTGGCCGGGAAGGTGCGACCGGATTTCTAGGTTATTGGTATGATATAATACTTGTACGATGTGGCTAACTTGAATACCGCTGCCGCCGACTGGGTCTCGTACTTGTCTATAGCAAACCCCTCCATACGTTACGGCTGAGGATTTACACGCCTCCGGATTGGTGCTTTTCAATCCGGTTTTTAATGTTCACTCACATGACTTGGGGATCAGGTTGAGGAAGGGAGTTGGGCGGATTCGATCATGTTCGGGGGGACGCCTGCACCCACGTGATCCTGGCGCCGGGTGCTATGGTAAAAGGTGCGAGTTCCCCCCTTCCGATAAAGTAAATCTCGCGGTTTGCTCTCCAGATGATAATAAGAGTGGTGGTGATGGGAATGAAATTTTTTTAAAAGTGGTGTGAGCGGAAAAGGGCGAGGGGGAAAGAAGGAATAAAAGACTATGGTTTCGTTCTTTGCTCTCCCCTTGTATTCCAACGAGAGAGATTGATTTTTAGCCCGTTCGTCGCGTAAAGTTCACCCGCGGATCACTCTTCCTTCCCCCATCCCTCCCCTTACCGGATTTTTTATTTTTTTAAAGTTTTTTTTACCCCCCTTCGTTCCTTGCTTGGTGCACCCGGCCTGAACTTGCGGCTCATTCCGATCTCTGGGGATTAGACTATTTATGCTTGTTCGAAAACACACAATAACAGCATGCCATCGTGGCCCTCTAGGCTCTTCTCGGCGGATAGCGACTCGGGCGGGGTGGTGAGGCACGGGAGGTCCAGGCCTCAACAGGTTTCCGCCTCGACGGGGTGGACGGGGAGTCCTGGACGCAGTGGTAGAGGTAGTGCTAGCGCTGACGGTCTTGCTGAGGAGGGAGGTGGACGAGGGGGTGGTAGGAGTGGTGGTGCGCTGTTTGTGAGCCTCCTTTCTCTCTCTCTCTCTCTGTTTACTTACCCTTTCTGGAGCTTATCTGACGGGAGGGGGTGTAATAGGCGACGGGCCATTGCATGTGCTGTGATTGTACGGTTCGATGGCCATCAGACTTGAATGTCTTTAGATGCACGGTCTGCATGACCATCAACGACCTAAAGCCGGTCCCCTCGGGGCCGTCGGGGGCCCCGGATACTCCGTCGAAGGAAGGTTTGCGCATACTATTCTTTATAACCCTACCTGGGGCCCTTTGACACCTTACTAATGAGGGCTTCCTCTATTTTAGTGCCTCCGGTGTCCATCGCGGGAACTGAGGCTATAATAGACATTTGCGTGGAGGAGTATCTCGACATGCGGAAATGGGTTAAGCAGATGCCGGTGTATGCACCCCCACCGCCGCCTATTGGAGGAAAGGAAGAGGGATCTATGCCGTCCACGTCTGCCCCTAGCGTCATGCCTCCCGTCGGCGATGTTCTCGGCCCACCGCCGCGGAGGTCGGGGAAAGACAGGGGTGGGGTTCCGGAGGGGTGTGTGCAGGGCTCTTGTGGGGAGCTCGCTAAAAATATGTTTAAGCGCTTGGAGGACCACTTGTTTCTAGCGTTTAACGATTGGGAATGTCTTAATGGGAGTTTTGTTAAGGAGCAGAAGGGGCCCGGGGAACGCAACAAAGTCGAGAGGACGGAAATTAGCGCGGCTGAACAGGGAAGTAGGCCACGGGGGAGTCGGGGGAGGAGGAGAGGGGATATAACTCCTACCACAGAGAATATTGGGGAGAAGGAAACTATGTTGTTGATGGGAAGGGGAAGGGGTGCAAGGGATAGGGGTTATAACAAATCCGGGGGGGTGGATAGGGGTCGTGCGGATGCGAAACTTAGTCTTCGCAGTCCCAACATTGATTGGGATGCTGTTAATGAGTTTTATGACATGATTATGAATGCCGGGGGGGATTATCCGTTGGAAAGAGCTTTGCATCGATCTGGTGGCGGGGATAAGGGAGAAGGCTCGGGAGGACAGTCTGAAAGGTTGCTCTCCCGAAGGCTGGGGTGGGAAGATGAGATCATGGAGATATCACGGGAAATAGAGGAGGCCAGGAATAATGTTGCTGGGGCCTTGTTGAAGGCTACCGAGAGCGTACTCAAACGCCCCAGGCGGCCTCTGAAGAAGCCAGAGGAGGTCAGATTCTTGCTTATAATACTGGCAAATCCTCTGCTATATCCATCGACCTCCCGGGCATCTACCAGGCCAAATGGCGGTATGGCGTCTTCACCGAACGCCCGCTCACCTCGAACAGTTGGGGATAGACTCACCGCACCGAAGAGGTACCCTTCTGATTCATCTTCCCATAGTGGGGCAAGTGGTGGTCCGGGGCACCATGCTGGTATCATAAAGCGGATTCTTGGTTTGTTGTCAAATCTGCCAAACGAGTGCCATCATTTCCTCGTCTCGTGGTTTACAAGGATGCCGGAAACGCAGTTCCGGCGATTGATCGAGCTTGTAGGAAGCTTTATCACTTATCGACTGACTAGACAGCAGGGAAGGAAGCGATTGCATACAGGTGGGTCTGCGGCGTCAACGTGCGGGCGGTCGTCTTATCATGACGATTGGCAGATCCGCGCCGCAGCCCGAGTCATGTCGTTATTCTTCTCGGCAAACAATAATACTGCCGGCCGTCGTTGCCTACTAAGTTCCAGCTATGGTCTGGCGGATGATAATTTAAGTTATGGCCAGATCGCGCGACGTGAGGCGCAGAGGAGGGGTCAGATTATCCCTACAAGCGAATTTTATAATATGATGCTCGATTACCACGACCTGATAGCTGACTTTGACGTCTGGGAATCGAGGGCGTCGAGGTTTTGCTTTTGTCAGTATCCGTTTCTATTATCTATGGGGGCCAAGATATCTATTCTTGAGCACGATGCGAGGAGACAGATGGAGGTACAAGCTAGACACGCGTTTTTCAATAGCATCGCGAGCCGTAGGACCATAAACCAGTACCTGGTGCTGAAGGTCCGAAGAGAATGCCTGGTTGAGGATAGCTTGAAGGGAATTAGTGAAGGAGTAGGTAGTCTTGACGACATCAAGAAGGGGCTAAGGATTGAATTTATCGGCGAGGATGGTGTTGATGCTGGGGGCCTGAAGAAGGAATGGTTTCTCCTAGTTGCTCGAGATGTTTTTGACCCGAACTATGGTATGCCTACTCCCCCCCCCCTCTGCGAGTTATAGGGGTGATTGAAGGGAGGGCTTATGGAATTTAGGTATGTTTGCCTACGATGACGATTCTCAATACTGCTACTTCAATCCAAACTCCCTCGAGTCTTCGGAGGAGTTCTTCCTTGTCGGGGTATTGTTTGGCCTGGCCATTTACAATTCCACCATCCTGGACGTGGCCTTGCCGCCATACATGTTCAAGAAGCTCCTTCACTCCATAACGGCGCACAGTCTCACGGCATCCTCTGCCCGCCCCCATTTGCATCACACTCTCGAGGACCTCGCTGTCTTCAAGCCTTCGCTGGCCCATGGGCTACGCCAGTTACTCGAGTTTGAGGGAGATGTCGAGTCGACATTTTGCCGCGACTTTGTCGTCGAAACCGAAAGGTTCGGACAAGTGACACGCGTACCGCTCTGCCCCAACGGCGAGAACCTACCCGTGACCAATTCCAACCGTAGGGAATTTGTCGACCTATACCTGAACTACCTCCTCAACTCTTCCGTCGCGAAGCAATTTGAGCCCTTCAAGCGCGGCTTCTTCACCGTATGCGGCGGAAACGCGCTGTCACTCTTTCGCCCGGAGGAAATCGAGCTGCTAATCCGCGGTTCGGACGAAGCACTTGATGTTTCCGCACTCAAAGCGGTTGCTATATACGATGGCTGGGGTGGTGGGAATCCAGCCGAGAATGACCCGGTTGTGAAGTGGTTCTGGAACTTTTTCGAGAGGATCACGCCAAAAGAGCAGAGGATGCTGCTGAGCTTTATTACTGGCAGTGATCGGATTCCGGCTATGGGTGCGACCAACTTGATCATCAAGGTGGTTTGCCTGGGACAGGATAGTAACAGATTCCCAGTTGCGAGAACGTGCTTTAATCAGATTTGCTTGTGGAGGTATAGGCGCAGGGAGAAGTTGGAAACACTACTCTGGAGGGCGGTGACGGAGAGTGAAGGCTTTGGGCTGAAGTGATACCCAGCGTGTGGGGGGACGGGAGTATCTGCGTGCAGGGGGTGAATGTGCTTAACTCATTCTTAATTATTAGTAACTCTCTTTTTGCTCTTTGTCTTTCCTCTGCCTGTCTGCCTCCCGCTAGTCTGTTTGTCACGATCCCTGTTAATTGCTCGTACATATGGAACTCACTCGTTTAATCGAATCGAATCTAATCGGGTTTGCGTACAGCAGTGTGACAGCGCACCTGCCCGGAAACCAGGGTATGATACTGTATGTACCATATTGTAAATTTTTTTCATTTTTTTTTTCGCGGTGGAAAGAGGGGGGCGAGATTTTCGGAATCCGGCGACGGCAACCGTTCGGTAGATTTCGAGGTTGGGATTATATTCACGTGAGATATATGATACAAGATGCAGGCACCGTGGAGTTGTGCCCTTAGTGTGGGGGAGGTGTTGTATCATAGCTTTCCGTTTCTCCTTTGCTTTTTTTTTTTCCCCTTCTTCCCCTTGCGTTGGTTCAACTTGGTGCTTTCCTTTCTTTCCTTTTATCAATCGATTTGGACCGATGGCGATGGCGATGGCGGTGGCGTTGGGACGGGAACGGGAATAGGGAGTTTGTCCATGTTATTACGGTTTTTATCATACTATTACTATAGGGTTGTGGATGGATGGATGAGTGGGGGGGTTCCGAGCGTGCCGGTGGCGGGGTTTGCGGGTTCGGGGTATGTACGAGCACTCGAGTACTGTACAGTACTACTCGAGTATCATTACAATATTGGATTGCATCATCATTGGATACCTACCGTACCGTACTGGACTGGACTGGACTGGACTGGACTGGACTGGACTAGACTGGACTAGACTACGGCTTTAGTTTGTCTAGTGATGATGTATGATTATATTGGAGAACTTTCCGTTGGAATCTGGAAGGGATCTGGAACGGGTCTGTCTATCATAATTTAATTTGGACTATTATACCTACCCCCCCTCCAATTCAGATTCGAAAGGTTCGAAAGTCCATGATGATGCCTTGGAATAAGAAGAACAGAAGCCAGCATATAATACAATTTGGTCAACCGGCCACACAACTCTTCAAGAATTGGGCATTATTCCTCGGTGAGCATAATGAAGAACTGACGAGCTGAGTGTTGTAAGATGCAATCCAAAGAAGAATTAATCTGATCGTATCCATTTCTCCTTACCCCCTTCCCGCCTCCAAAACCCCCGGGATTTTCTAAACCTCCTATGTAGGAAAGAGTTCTTCCATTTGCGTCGGGTTGTTTGCGGCCGGTATTACACTGGCTTAGTATTACACCGTGCGGTATTACAGTATAATATCGTACTATCAGATCATGATAATCACTCTGTTTTTTGTTTTGTTTTGCCTGTCTGTTTGGTGGTGGCGAGTTATCAGAAGTAGATCCTGCTTACTAACCGAACGGTGGAAGTCCCCGAGAAGAGGAAGAAGAAGAAGTGTGAGGCTGAGGTCTGCAGTAAATTGGCGGTTGCGTATGATACGAGTACGGTAGTCTAAGTTGACTTAGAATCGGAGCTCCCACGATGCACCCCGCACTTCTCACAGCGACTTGCGTCAACGGGAATGGATGGATGGGTTAGTTTTTGACAGGGCTGGAAATATATGATTTACCCACTTTATAAAAATAATATAATATAGAACGCTCTTAGATTGCCCCCCTTCCCGTGGCTACAGTATGCATGGATTTTTCCCCAAATTTTTCCGGATTTCTATAGAAGGCAGGGTGTTTTTTTTTTTGATGGAAATAAATTGTTCCTTTAATTTTCAACGCCCGCCCTCCCCCTTGATGGAAAGTATCATATCACAGCCAGCCGGGGTTTCCGGGATCCACAACATTCTATCATTATTTTTCCCCCGGGTTTTTGTATTACCCCCTTTGATTGACTTTTTGCTTTAATTTACGAGTTGTAATGAATGACGCAGGTCATTACGATGCTGTGCGAGTACTGTACTTGTACTGATAATACTGTACCTTCCCCTCCCGTACCGTAAGCACCGGGTTCTGGCCAGCGTGAATTTACAATAGCTTATCATGCCAATTGTAACTGTACTGTCAGCTCTGTTGGTAAGGATTCGCTTACCCTACCGTAATATCATCACTATTATCACCTGCTCCGGGGAAAAACGTTTTTACGTTATTTCCATTTGAGCGATGATCCGCTTGTTTTTTTTTTGGTTGGTTGGAACCCCACCTTGGTTTTTCCCCCAGCGTTTGCTTCGTACGGTGACCCCACGAGTTTGGTTTGCAGGGCTCTTTTGGAGTCGGTAAGGTTTATGCGTTGTGAGTGTCGGTACTATTGTGAATTATTTTTTTCTTCTCTGCTTTTCTTTTCCTTTTTCCTCCTCTTTTTTTTTGTGTGTGTGTGTGCTTTTTTGATCGGTGGGATGGTGCTCGCATGATATTACTAGGTATTTGGCGTCTTTTGGGGCATAGGGCCGGCCGTTAAGAAAACTTACTCGGTACTGTCCCGTGTCTGGGTTTCTGGAAGAGGGGATGGATGCTGACGTTGGGCTTGAGGGAATAAGTTTCTTTAACTTGGGACTTTCCTTCTCTGGCCTTGACTTGCCCTGCTTGCAGGAGTAGCGCTGTGGCGGATTCGAGTTATAGCTTGGTTTGCTTTAGGCTGACTTTGTTATTGGAGAATTGGCGGGCCAATTGATGCTGCTGTGTTTATCGTGCTTCTCTTCCTCTCTTCCTCTCTCCCTCGGTATACGGTATGTGGTATCGTAGAAGAAAGCTGCTCGGTACTGGTTATTGAAAGAGGGGTTGAAACTTAACTAATCCGAGGAGAGTGCCAAAGAATTATGGTGGGGTTTCTTTTCTGTGTGGTCCGCTTTTTTTTTTTTTGGTGGGGTTTATTCCGATGGAGATGTGCAACAACGGACCCCTCCCCTCCCTCCCTCACATTCCCTCTCATCCTTCCTTCCTTCGTCCCCCCTCCGTTGTCTTGCCCACCCGGGATGGGAGGTCTTGGGGTGGGGGGCTCCCGGGGGTGGTATCATGGTGGTGGTTGCTTGATAGAATAGGGTAGATGGTCACTGCTAGATGCTGTGCTCGTAGTCAAGGTCTGAGGATATAAAAGACTTCTTTCTCCCCCGGCCTTGTTCTGTTTGTCCCCCCTTTTTTCCTCCCCTTGCCTCCTCCCGCTCCGTTATCCATTCGTGTTTACCCTCCATCAGTCCATCCAAATCAATCAAGTACCGGAAACCTTTTCTGTCAAGTAGTTCTCTTCAATCGATTCACACAATGTCTCTTCCAGCAACTATGAAAGCTCTCCGGTGAGTTCCTCCGATGACTTACCCCGCTTCGTTGTGGACGGTCGATGATTGACTATTGCTGGTAGCTACGACAAACCAGAGTCGTATGCTGTTGTTGAGGTCCCGCTACCCACGCTTCGTGATAACGATGTTTTGGTGTGTGCATCCTCTCCGCCTTTTTTCCCCCTTTTCCCGTGGAATTGGGGAACTAATTGATGGAACGATAGATCAAAGTCAAGGCTTGCGGTGTCTGCGGGACTGTGAGTGATTCCTAACGATAGTGGTAATGGTGGTGGCGATGTGCTGCGTGCTGATGGGGATGGGACGGAATCGTAGGATTTGCATATTCACGAGGGTGAATTCATCGCAAAGGTAATTTGGAAATCCATTCCCTGAGGCCACCTCGATTGGGGGAGGTTTCTTTTATATACCTACGCGGTGGTGGATTATGGTTGGGCACCCTTATGGGTAGCACCATGACACCTTTGTGGTCACTTTTCCCGTGATATTGGGCTAACGTGATGTGATATCTCCCTGCAGTTCCCGTTGATTCCTGGTATTTACCCCTCCTATTGCTGATTCCTCCGGATTTGCTGCAAATTTAGAGTGGAATTGATGGTTGATTGGTCAATCGATAGGGCACGAAACTGTTGGTGTTGTTGCTGCCATCGGAAAAGACGTCAAGGGATTTCAAGTTGGTGAGCGTGTATGCGCTGATAACTCGGAGCTCTGCAACGAGTGCTTCTACTGCCGTCGTGGACAACTCTTGCTGTGCGAGAAGTTTGAGGCCCATGGAGTTACCAGTCAGTTAGCCCTTGTCTCTCATCTCATCACAAGTTAGGCGGATTATGTGCTGACGATTGGTGTTTTTAATAGTGGACGGTGGTTTCGCCGAGTACTGTGCATACCCCGCCGGAAAAGTGTTCAAGATTCACAACCTGAGCGACGTCGATGCTACCCTCCTTGAGCCCGCTTCGTGCGCTGCTCACGGTCTTGAGAAGATTGCCCCAAAGATTGGCTCTTCCGTGCTTATGTTCGGTGCTGGGCCGACCGGTCTCTGCCTTGCTCAGCTACTCCGTCACAATGGCGCTTCGCACGTCGTCATCGCTGCCCCCGAGGGTTTGAAGATGGATTTGGCTAAGAAGCTTGATTGTGCCGACGCCTATGTTCCTCTTTCCAGGAGCAACCCCCAGGCTCAGTTCGACCAGATCAAGAGCGATAACCCTTACGGATTTGACATTGTTGTCGAGGTTTGTCTTGTGCCAATTGATCACTTGTATAAATCAATTATTTATGGGTGATATACAGGCTACCGGCTCCCCCAAGATCCTCGAGGATGCCATCAACTACGTCCGTCGGGGCGGTAAGCTTGTTGTTTACGGTGTTTACAGCGACACGGCCCGTGTTTCATGGCCACCAAGCAAGATTTTCGGAGATGAAATCACCATTCTTGGTTCCTTCTCGGAGACTTACATGTTCCCCACCACCATCGGTTACCTAGACACCGGAAAGGTCAAGGTTGAAGGCATTGTGAACAAGACTTACAACCTCGAGCAATGGGCCGAGTGTCTGGAGGCGATGAGGAACAAAACTGCCATCAAGGCTGCTATCGTCTTTGATTAGATTCATTTCCGTCTGTTTTCTTTTTGCTTTTTTTTCATGGAACACTACCAATACTGTGGCTGTTTGGCAAACATGGATTGGACGGATGGGCGGGGAGACACTTTGTTATTTGTAACGTAGGTAGTTCTAATAGCCTGAGTGTTATTGTGAGGTTTTCAGAAAAAAAAAAGTACGTGTATAAAAAAACATAGGGCCAACGTTTTTAGTGGGCTTTATGTGTTTGTTCGCTTATCGTACTTGATTGAAGTGACGGGGTGAGTGTAAGACGGATTGGGAAGGTGGGGTAATTGGATGTCTTGGCTATGCTTTCATTAATTTATCGCTATCGGGACATGCAGGATCCCGTTAATGGGGGGATAATTATGTACTCGTAGACGGATGGCTCACTTTCATTCCGGTAACGCGATCGTTGTCTGCTTTACCGTGCAAGATAATAATCCCGAGGGAATGTCTTTGGAGTCAAGCTGCGCTGAAATGAGATGATAGCCTTACCTTTCCAACGATTCATCGATGCTGTATCTAAGGGGTTGTTTACCTATAGACGGCCGTCTACTCGAGTAGTGGGTGGAGACGGCACTGACCGTGCGTCCGTGGGGGCTTGACGGTTGTACCCATGCCGAGCGTCCGGAAGTGTTTACCTGGAGTGCTGTCATCCAGAGTGTTTGATCATGGCTGCAACCGGACCTCTGAAGCAACCTCTCATTTTGACCAACTAGAATCAGGAATTTGGGACTGTCAAAGATTAGGTGCTCGAGTAGACACTTTTCAGCTTAGCAATGTATCATACGGTAGGTCAAGAGGTTCATGCAACCGTAACTTACCGGTACAATGCTGGTAACTTATAACACAACTCTCCCAAAATGTCGGAATGGTGCGGTATGTACTGTACATGGAGCGGAAGGAATAGCCGAAGGAAATCAGAGGAAAATTCCGAATCACTACTATCCTCACCAAAGGTAGATTGCACCATACTCTCTCTCTGTCTCTCTTCGCACAAGAAGGCACTCTATTTTGAGGTTTCCCCGATGGATTTTAAGATTGCATTGTATCTGCAGGAACTGCAAGATCTGGTGCTCACTTGTCAATGGAATATAAGTTATATATATATATATTTGACTATGAAGACGCCCTGGCTATCGCAAGATACTGTACCATACCCGGGTACAGGTATCATAATCTGTATCATACCGGACGAAAGCCCTAGTGGCGCGTCCAGTCGACGCACGGGTAAACTGGAAAACTCACAACCATGTTTGGAGAAAATACTAGCACCCGGGAATGGCCCACTTTTTTTTTTTCTTGTTTTGGTATCATACCGATTTTTGAAAAAAAAAAGGTGGCCGTGGTTACCGTTATACCGTACCTTATTTTCCCCATCCTGTTTGGAAGGCTTTCTTGTGACCCTGTTCAGCACGACCCCGCGAGAAATATCATCACATGTCTGGAAATTGGGATCAATCTAACTACGGGACGATGAGAAGTTGGTACTATGGTTCGTCCGATAGCGGGTGCCAAGCGGGAAGCCAAGGAAGGCCTGCAAGGGTCAAGAGTATCATATAAAAAAAGGTGATTTTGCGAAATATAGACATGAGAGCACGATATTTTCCTTACTCTACGGACTGTCGGCTCACCTTGCCAATTTTCCCTTCACAGAGGAGGGGGAGGAGGTCCTGCCATCGGACGATGCCATTCTCCTTTTTGCTTGTTAGGTGGGGGTGGGTTTCTTTGCCGGTCGGGAGGTATCATGAGCTGTGTTTTCAAAAATGGACCGACGCCCATAATTTCGCTATCGACCAGCCAGATATCATACTCGCGCGGCCGAATTGAAGCCGGACATTTTGTATGGGAGTTGACGCCTTAGGTGTCCGGCTTCAAACCGGCCGCGCGAGTACACGCTGAAAATGGTGTAAGTTACAGTAATTGGGTATCGCTCTTGTCCGTGCTGGGTTGGTGAGAGGGGTGTTGGGGTTGATGGGGCTGGTGTGTCGCTCCCATGGAGGGAGGGAGGAGGATCTGTTAGGGGTGCGGGTGCACCGTCTGAACTCTGGTCTCGATTTTTATCTTTTTCTTTCCCACTCGTATATACTCGTGCCAAGGTTGTGGCTGCGCCACAACCCACGTCTGCTCGCTGGCTCGCAACCGTGGGCACTCTCAAGAGAGTGCCGGACAGCTCAACGGTCTTGGACAGCTCAACGGTCCTTGGGTGTTGCCATAGAAACTCTGTTTTCATAGAAACTATGTTGCCATAGGAACAGCGTTACCATAGAAACATTATTACCATAGAAACATTATTGCTAAGCATTCTGTTACAATTCCGCTATTGTATGACAGGATAGTTATACTCATTACAATACAACTCTACAAATATTGGCATTTATTTATTAGTGAATACTCAATTTCCCTATTGGCATCTACCAAAGCAATAAAAGACATATATACCACTAAGACAAATGTGTTAAGAGAAGTCGCTTGTATATTAGTTATTAAGCTAAATATAGCAATTCTGTGTTGCTGCATTGCTATATTGTATTGCCCTACCACTGTCATGTTTCTATGGCAACATGTTATGTAATATTGTATTGAGCTAGGAGGTTACCATGCCAACACCCAAGGACCGTTGAGCTGTCCAAGACCGTTGAGCTGTCCGGCACTCTCTTGAGAGTGCCCACGGTTGCGAGCCAGCGAGCAGACGTGGGTTGTGGCGCAGCCACAACCTTGGCACGAGTACCCGATTGCGAGAATATCTTGAGTGAATAATTGCAATTGGACATTAGGGAGGTTCTGCTACGACGGTCGTAATAAGAACTGTGCTTAAATCTTGGCAAGGTCTGTTGTGGCGATAGACAATTCCTTAGTTCAGGTTTTGCTAAGGGCCTGTTCGGTTGCAACCAGATATCATGATTTCCGAGGACAAGATGCCATTTTTGCCAAAAATGACATATCAAGAATAAGGACTGTGTTCGGTAACCTAAATCTGTAATTTTGAAAAACTCCATTTTACACTCAGAAATGGCATATGAAAAAAAGAAGTTGAAGAAGAATTTTTGAACTCGCACACTGGCTGGACAATGCCATCAGCAACTCTACTGATCAAATGTCCCTGCAAAATCCTTCACCTGATTGCCCACTTTTAACCCCCAATCTATTATTGCATATTGGCCAGAATGTTGCAAATGCAGCTTTGGACATACTGGTAAACAAGCCCTGTCATACATCAGCTTTATCTGGCAAGGCGTATGTCCATGAGTTGATCTCTCCTGAAACTCATCCCAACCGCATTCAAGATGCACTCCGCATGCCACGTATTACCTTCCTCAAACTTTGTACCTGGTTTCGGCAAAATAACCTCTTGACGGATTCTAAATATCTTGAGCTAGAGGAGCAAGTTGCAATGTTTTTATGGATAGTAGGAAGAGGAGCATCAAATAGAGATGTTCAAGAGCGGTTCCAACATAGTGGAGATACAGTTAGCAGGTAGTTATCCTTTTACAGTATTTTTTTTAATTTTTTTTATTTCTTTTCTTTCGTTTATTACCTAGTACTAGTATATTTAAAGTTTAATGTACAGTAATTAATAAAACTCATTACAGATATTTCCACAAAGTCCTCAATGCCCTTGTTATTTTACATTCAGAAGTTATCTGTTTGCCAAGTGACCAAATACCTTTTGAAATATGCAGGAATCCAATTTTCTATCCTTACTTTAAGGATATAATTGGTGCAATTGATGGGACGCATATCAAGGCACATGTAATTGCCGATTCAGTTGCACCTTTCCGTAATAGAAAGGGGGATATATCTCAAAATGTTATGGCAGCATGTACTTTTGATATGTATTTTTGCTTTATATTAGCTGGATGGGAGGGCTCTGCACACGATGGAAGAGTACTGAATGATGCACTCATGAGAGGATTTAATGTTCCTGCTGGCAAGTACTATCTTGCAGATGCAGGTTATGCATTAAAGAGAGGATTTTTGGTACCCTATCGTGGGGTAAGATATCACCTTCGGGAACAGTTCAATTCACGACAAAAGTAAGTTGCTCCTAGTACTTAAAAATATATTAATATATTAAGAAATACAATATTCTTGAGATACTAATTAGGAGATTATGTGAATAGGCCACAAACGAAGGAAGAATTATTTAACCTTCGACATTCACAGTTAAGGAATGTAATCGAGCGGATATTTGGTGTTTTGAAACGCCGTTTTCTTATACTCCAATCTGCACCCAAGTATCCTTATACAGTACAAGTTAAACTTGTATTTGCCCTTACTGCTCTACATAACTTCATACGAAAAATTGGACTAGAAGACATTCACAGCTTTGAAGAGGAGGAAAGACAACATGAACAAGAAGTAGCAAGCCATAGTCAACAGGCAGTCCGAGAAGAACAGATTGAAGAAAGAGATGATGAAAACATGGCAAGCATAAGAGACTCTATTGCGGAAGCCATGTGGTTTGACTATCAAACATATTTGACTCGCAGAAGACAGGATTAATTTTGTAAAGAAATAGAAATTGAAGCAAGGAAAGCTTTAGTTACATTTTTCATTTGATATAAGTAAGGATATTAAAATGCATCAATTTCAGCCTTAAGCCAAGCATCGCGTAAAGCCCCCCCCTTCATTGCTGTAAAAACAGAAGCTTTTCCAATGTCCACAAACAAGCGTACTGCTATTACACGTTCATTTAACGTTAATGAATCAGAATACTCACTCTCTAAAATCCTAACGGCTATCTCATTTTTAGTAATACTCAAACTCTTAGATGTATCAGCCAAATACTCTAAGGAACCTGCAATAGCATGTCCACTTCCACGTGTAGACCTCCTTTTCTTAATGCTCTGGCGTTCTTCTTTTCCATCAGTATCAGCCATTTTTTGTACCTTTTGTGTTGACAACTGATCAGGTATCTTTTCTGCCTTTTCGTCCTCGGTATCACTACTTGTAAGCTCCTTCCGCTTCCGGTGCCAGTGGTCCTGATATGAGATGGTAGATATTTCACAAGAGCTGGTACTTTTCGAGTGTGGCGGTTCTCCTTCAATAGCAGGATCAATAACGGGTTCCATTGTTTCCGGTGGTAAACTGAAATATGGACTTGATAGACTGCCAGTAGTAGGCGGAGGTTTAATTGATAACGCAAATGCACCAGTTGCACGGATACCAGTAAAGAGCTCGTCAAGTTCATCAAAATATATGAGGGCTTTAAATCGAAACTTTCGAGCTTCTTTATGAACCTATTTGTAATAATTGATTCAAGTTAGTCAGGAATTGTATTGTGTTACAATAAAATATCAAACTTACCGACAAATGTGTAGTCCAAACATCTTCTGGTGCTGTTGGTAGCCCTGTCAATGGATCCCACCCGAAGCCGGAGTTCTGCTTCAATCCACGAAACAGATCATAATCACGCTTTAACTGGAGTATCAATATGATTAGTTATTTGAGAAAAACAATTTATAGGATAATACTTACCGCACTCTCTTTACTCTTGA